TCATCACTGACATGCAGTCTATAAAAAGTCTCTGGGTCGTTGCGTGTAAAGATTTTGGACATCTTCTTGGATATTGTTAATGCTTCCAAAATGTTTGCTGCATTTTAAACGCCCATGACTTGAGGTTGTTCAGTATGACGCAATTTACTTTCTGTGTGCGATTTGATTGGACAGGAATCGCAGGACTGATTTTTCTACTTTAGCCAATCACCATAGACATGAAAGAAATAAAATAGTGACTGCAAGTTGAAGGAAAGTAGTGGCGTAAAGTACTGATACTGCACTAAAACTGTACTGAAGAGAACGTAAAAGTACACATTTTTAAAACTACTTGGCAAATTACAATTCCTGAGAAAAACTACTCAATTACACTAATTAGAGTATTTGTATATGTTACTTTGCACCACTAGTATCACACTTACGAATATAGTGACCCTCATGAGAGGCAGTCTGGTAATTACTTCAGATCATTTATTATGTATTTTTTAAACACTGCTTTATTTCTCTATAGATCAGCCTGCCATATTTAACTTGGGGAAAAAAGTCATATTTTCAGGAATTCTTCAATAAATAAAAATACAAAAGAACTGAAATAGCATTTTTAAAGCTTTAACTATTTACTCCTTCATTAAAAAGTATTCTTTTTTTTTTTTTTTCAAAAACAGTTCTAACCTTAAACTTTAGAAGAATGCTGTAAACATATTTCCTAAGTATTAAACTTTTTCGCAGGTTTATAGCTGAGATCCCACAATAGACAATGTAGACAGCACATCTCTGTCAGCTTTTCCATGGTGCTTGGATTTGTGCAAATGAAAAGCTGTCTCATTAGATGACAGTGTTTTGGCTGAGGCCAGGGCCGCCCTGGTTTTCCTGATAAGGGTTGCAGAGGCTTAGTCCCTCTCACACGGAGACTGATAAGCAGTGGAAAATCTCTGAGCTGAGGCTGCAAGAATGTGAGTTTATTCTTCAGGGTTATTCAGCAGTGATTACTACAGGGACAGTGGCAATCTGGTGCCTGACACACATGAACACGAGAGGTTGAGGGTCCACTACTGTTCTGCTGGCAGTTTTCATGTGTTGATAGGATCCACAGGCAGAAATGAGTCTAAATCGTTCTCCTACAATCTTACGAATGTGATGAAAATATTGTGAAATTTAATTGCAATATAAAATACCTTTTATAGTTTAACTTTTTAAAATGCTGTTTATTTTGGTGATGTAATGCTGAATTTTCAAAAAAAAAAAAAAAAAAAATCCATTCTTTACGGTTACACAATTCTTCCAAAATCTTTTAGTTAACCAGACAGTTAAGAAACATCTTCTTTTTATTATCAGTGTTGAAAATTTTACACATTTATATATTTATTTATTTTAATTTTTATATATTTTTTTTGTGAGACCATTCAATATTGTACAATTTTTATCAAAAGTAAACCTTAAATGTTTCTTTCTTTTATTTCAATTTTATCTTATTATTATTATTATTATTATTATTATTACTATTATTATTATTATTATTTTATTTTATTTTTTTATCTTGTATATTATTTATTGCTGTTAATGACTTTTAATTGTTAGAATATATTTTTAGAATTACAGAAAGTGGTATTTGTAAAGTGTGGTAAAGTTGATCTGTTTTTTTTTGCCATGACATAGCCAGAGAAGCTGATTTGGCTATAAAATCACAATTCTCCGTCTCTTGTAAGACCATTCAAAATTTTCAGTTCTAAAATTTTAAAGAACATCATTTGTTTAAAGTATTTTTTTTTCTTTTTTGCAACAATTTCCTTTCTGTCACATTTAATCGATTTAATGCATCACTGTTGATAAAACAATTTGTAGTAAAAATTTGAAAGACAGGTTAAGAACAAAAAATAATCTAGAACCATTATCCACAATTATGGATATATACCAAATCTGGAACAGCCAGAGCTGTGGCAATGTTAGAAATGGACTCTCAGTTATTTACTCCACCCCTCATATGATTTATGGACATGTCAGCCATTTGAAGTGTCACATGGTGCCAATGCTAATCTGCTGTTTGTTTTATGCAGTGCTCTGTGTGTCTTTTTTTTACAGGGTCCTTGGCGGTCATTGGGATGATAGTGAAGCGGGTTGGAGTCTGGATTGAAGGAGCATGGTGAAGCACCAACCATTACAGGTCTACGAGAGACAGCTGTGTTTGTCATGTCTAACCGGGATCTACGGCTGCCGCTGGAAACGTTACCAGCGGTCACATGATGACACCACCAAGGTGAGTTTCCCCGTCGTCTAACCATCTGGCTGTGATCTGAAGGGTTTATTAGAGCTCAAATCCCACAGCTAATATTTTACATGTGACTTCTTTTAGTTCATCGCATACATGCTGTTTGACCTGAGCCTTTTTTTTTTTTTTTTTTGAGATAGAGAGAGAGATTTCCACACATTCATCTAGACTAGTTTCAGCATCAAACTTTTTGTACACTGGCTGAATGTCTGAAGCATGTGACACAAAAATGGAAACAGTCATCATCTGATTGGATAAATTCTACAGGATTTAGCATTTTTCAAGGTTCGGCTGAACTTGAAGTTGTTGAGAACTTTATTTCAGTATGTTGATGTACTTCCGACTCAAAATAATTATTGGGCGGGGCTTTGCTTTTTGCGCATCATTCACTCATAGTAAACTAATGGTAGGAGGGGCGTGGTTAAGAATATTGTGGCTGAAGCCCTTAAACTGACTACAATAGAGGACTACCGCTCCAAACACAGAAGCAAAAGGTCAGACTTTAATTAAAGAATACTAAATCTAATTTTTTTTAGCGTACTAAATTGCATAGATTAAATGTTCACCTAAAGCACAACAATGCTTTTCAATTTTGATGTCACACTGACTAAAATTAATGTCAGGACTTCGCCTCATGGAAAAAGTAAGCCATTGTGTTTACAGCAGTGACAACTGATGCTTATGATCAACTAAATACTAGGTTTTCTAAAGTCTAATTAAAAATAAAAAGTAGATTGCAGCAGATGATTTCTAAATCTGTCCAGTTTTAAAAAAAAAAAATTACATTTTAGTTGTTTATAGACCTGGATATCCTCCTGGTGCTCAGGTTTCCCCCACAATCCAAAGACATGCGGTATAATTGAATTGGGTAAACAAAATTGGCCATAGTGCATGAGTGCATCTGTGAATGTGAACGTGTATAGGTGTTTCCCAGTACTGGGTTGCAGCTGAAAGGGCATCCCCTGTGTAAAACATATGGCGGAATAGTTGGTGGTTCATTCCACTGTGGCGACCCCTGATAAAGTATGGACTGATCTGAAGGAAAATGAATTAATGTCTTTTAAGGACATCAACATTGCATTTATACTCCATTAAACATGCTGCTCATCAAAACAAGCAATTGGTTGCTTTACATGTCAGTCAGATGGATCGCTTTGATGATGTGAGTCATTTAATAATTTTTCAGGTATTTGAACTATTCAAAATCAGCAAAGGGTCATTAAACTCATTTAGTTCCATATAATCAGACTATGCTATCTGTTGTCCTGTAGAGAAGGGTTTTTTAAAGTGGTTTGTGGTGAACATTAGGGGGCCTCAGGACAGTGATGGGGAATCTATAGAAATTAATAGAGAAATAAAAAAATAAAAAAAACAATCTCTAATTTAATTAATAAACAAAATAATTAATATTAATTTTGAGACAAATATTATAAGTGTAAAATATATTTACAAAACGCATTCAAATAAATTCAAATAAATAAATCCATTTCAAATAAATGAAATGCATTCAAATAATAGGATACTAAATAATATCCTAATTGAATTGAAATAAAACATAGATTAAAACAGTCGATTTAAATAAATACAATTGGAAATAAATGCAGTATAATATACAGTATTACGCCTTGTGTGGCTCGGAGGATGAAAATAGATAACCCAAACATTATTTTTTAAATTGAGACATTAAATGACATTAGCTGCTATGGATCGACACAGACAACATAGGTTGCAAAAAGTGGTTTGCTTAATTTACAATTAAGATAAAAAAGAAAAAAAAATGAATCAACTAAAGTATATTTACAATTAATTTAAAATAATGTACAATTAATACAAAATAACCAGACAAATCAATTGCATCAAACCTTATAGAGGGAATGAAAATAAGCGGTGCCAAATCAAAGAAAATAAATTAAACACCCACTAACTAAACACTCCCCACCTCTAAATAACATAAGATAAATCCAAAAATACAACATTCGGCATTACACGCCTCTCACTAAACTGCACTCACTAGAAAAAACATAAAAATGGTAGCACCTGCTTCCGAACTGATGGATTAACAGAGAATAAACTTGGGTTGTGTAAAATGCAAGTCACTTGACGTACTTCACTTTCACTTCCCATTTAACAGATTTAAGCAGATTTAGCTTGAACGTTCTGAATAAATGTACAACTAATAAAAAAAAAAAACGAATAAAACTAAAGTGAACCAGAGAACAGGACAGGCACATGTCACACGGAAAGACAGAGCAGTGACAAGAGACAAGGATCCCCCCAATCTGTCATCACTGAAGCTCTTAATTGACTCCCATCCTCTTCTGATTGATCCACTCGTAAAACTCCACGAGCCAATCGGAACACATAGATTTTAGAAGAACAGCAGACAGCAAATAAAAACGGAAAGGGGAGGAGCAAACAACAGAGCAACACCCCCAGGCATGTAACAATCAGCGGTGCACAAACCTGTTCCTGGAGATCTACCTTCCTGCAGAGTTCAGCTCCAACCCTGATCAAATATCAAATAAATTGAGTGTAGTTAACTCAATATTTACTGAACGTTAATTCTACTCATTTGAAAAGAGTTATGAACTCCGTGTTGAAGGTAATGAGTTAATTAAATACCTCATTACACTCGCACAACTTAAATGCTGAAAGTGCACAGTACTCATATAGATACGTTTTTAAACTCAAATGGCTTGTTGCAATCGGGTTCCTCAAACTGTTTGAGTTGCCTTAACATTTTGGGTTTTACAGTGTATACACACACACAGTGATAACTAAACAAAATACTTAAGTCCCATTTCTAATATAATGTTTCACAAATTCACAAACGTTATACACAAAACTTTTACATTTTAGAATGGGAGTCCCTCATACAAGGATCATCTTATTTAGTGCTCAGTGACATCAAATACCCCTACTTTAGAAAGGCACTTAGCTTTGTAATGTTTACTTAACAACATACACACTTGCTGACTGTTTTGAAAGTGTACACGGGTCAAATGAGGAGTCATCGATTCCAAGAATACTTTGAGAAGATCAAAGTTCAGATTAGTCACTGTGGGTCACTGTGCAGTATAGGGTCAGGCCAGACATTCATTAGCCCATATCCAGCTGTGTCCCGGGTGTCCTTTATCTGTAATCAAGATATGTTTATTCTTCTTTGTTTAATGCATAGACATTAGTGCTGATGTGTCAATATGAGAACACTAGGTTATTCAGAAACTCCAGGACATTAAAGTGTCAGCCACTGACAGTAAAACTTTTCTCTTTATAATGTTTTTGAATGAACATTTTTACTGTATACATGTGAAATGAACAGAATAATGAGCATAAATTGATTATAAAACAAAAGGGAGAGTGAACCGCTCATTAGAGACTTACAGACTTTAATGTATTTAGGTGATGTTCATAAAATCAATCAACCTCAGCAACCGAGAATTAATTAATTATCAGCCATATTAACCATAGTCCTCTTTCTGAGGGTCTTTTTGATTGTGGTTTCCTCGCGTAAGCTTCAATACAATCCAGTACAAGTAAGTAAGGATCAGTCTTTTATGAGTAAAAGCACTTTTTGTCTAGTATATCACTTCCATGCAGTTAATTAAAGGACATGCGCTGAGCATCGGGGGAGTTGTGATGTTATTTATGTGTGTTGAAAGAGCTGCCTGAAGACTGCCAACAAACGGTATTATCCTCATTGCCTAATGCAGTGAGCGAGGACAAGAGTCCACGAGGGGGGACGTTCTGCTTTAGAAGACTTTAATCAAAACATTGCAGGTCTGTATTCTGCTTACTTTTTTTCTGCTAACTAGCTCAGCAGCTGTAGATAGTTCAGCTTTATGGCCCTGATATACTCACAATACAGTTATTTTATTTGTTCTTTATTTAGAAGTAAAATTAAAGGACTGGTTCTCCCAAACGTTAAATTCTGTCATCATTTATTCACCCGTTACTTGTTCCAAAATTGTTCGAGTTTTTCTCCTGTTGGACTCAAACAAAGATATTTTGAAAAAGGCTGGAAACCTGTAACCATCGATTTGTTTTTCCCACTATGGAAGTCGATGAATACAGGTTTTTAGCTTATGCCTTCTTTAGTAGTCAAATAGGTGTGGTATATACTATTAACAAACGTCCTATATATATATATGGCATTTAGATTTAAGGGGTCATGAACTGCTCAACTGGCTCCAAGTTGATGGTGCTTTGCTGCTACGCTTTTATGCCATTATGCGGCATTATGCAGCATTGACAAACACGTTTTATAGTGCAGCACTTTCTGCATCTGGTGTGAAAGCCACTTCACTAATACTCATTCATCAATTCATTTTCTTTTCGACTTGGTCCCTTTACTAATCTGGGGTTGCCATAGCTGAATGAACCGCCAACTAATCCAGCACGTTACGCAGTGGAGGACCTTCCAGCTACAACCCGTCAATGGGAAACACCCATACACTCCCATTCACACACATACACTATATACAACTTAGTTTACCCAATTCACCTATAGCACATGTCTTTGGACTTGTGGGGGAAACCGGAGCACCCGGAGGAAACTCGCACAAACATGGGGAGAACATACGAACTCCACACAGAAATGCCAACTGACCCAGCCGAGGCTTGAACCAGCGACCTTCTTGCTGTGAGGGGACAGTGCCATCCCCACTAATACTCACTACACTGCAAACAGTCTATAATAACAAAGTAGTAATAACCATGTAATAACTGTAACTCACAGCTGTGTGGCGTAACATTACTGTCGCATCTATAGACCTTTTTCTTGGCAGCTACAAGGAGGGCGCCATAGCGACTAGCGTCTTCAGGTAGAATGTTTAGAACTTCCGTTTACAGCTTTTACAACTGGTAATTTGCGCTTCGAAAACGTATTTCAATAGCGTTTTGCATGGATTACGGAGTGTTTTTGTGACCCACAACATTGAAAAGTGCATGTTAATGCCGTTTTAATCTGTCATGTGGTTCAAGCGCGAGAGAAAAACGTTCTCCTAGTTCACGTGTCTGCAGTCAGAAATACAGTGTGTGTTTGTGTGTGTTGTTCCCCGGCCTGTCAGCTGTTAGCTTAGCGGCTCTTCAACACACACGCGCACACACACATGCAATACTTCACTGAATTATATTCTGGCTAATTTGCTGTTCATTCCAATCGCGAGCCGTTAATGTTTAATTTAGTGTGTTGTGTTTACCACAGTTTTTTTTTTCTGTCATTTCAAAATGTCACTATTTTCACTTTGTCACAGTTATTAAATCAGTGTGTTAATGGGACAGTACAGTAGGCTATGTGTGTGTGTCAAACATTTTGGAGAATTACATTTGTTTGGGTTGGTTATATATTTGAAAGAAAGAAAAACTGTTGACTTTACCATCGACGAATCTTCATTTAAACATCAGAAGATGCCGTATGACAGTTGTTTCCCATCCTATTAGATTTTTAAATCCATTTTTTAAATGATCAGTCCAGGAGGTGGCGCTGATCGACAACAGTATTAGTTGAAAGATGATGATAAAAGCAGGTAAAATAGATTAAAACTATCATTTCAAAGCTGTCCAAAGGTGACCGTTTATACGCATCAGCTGCCGACCAGAAGTTCTCAGCATTCTCCTTGCGCATACACGCAAAGCATAATGGGTAATTTTGTGTTCTGAGAAACCGGTCTATACTCAGCATTTTATTAATTTAAATCCTGCTTTGAATTATGTCTCGTAGGGCTGAATGAATCAATGGCAATTTTTCATTCATATTTTGTCAGTAAAGCTGGCTGTGTAATCCGCTGTAAATCTTTAGCACCTGCTTTCAGATGTAGCCGCGTTTGCTGCACAGAGCTATAGTTCACTATATAAGCTACACAAAAATCAGACCATTTAGGCTACACAAAAATCACAGACAATTTAACCAACATGATTTTGAAATCTGAGATAATCATTTTGCAATTTGCCAGCTGTTTGCATCGCTTCTCTGTAAACTAAGGCTCTGTGTTGCTGCTACATCTGAAAGCATGTGAAAATAGCATGTTTAATAGCATACGTTTACCCCAATCTTACCTCGTAATTTAAATCAATAGTTTGAAATCAATCATTTTATGAGATGATTCTGTAGTTGTTCAATAGTTATTTTTATTCAGTAGAAGCAGTTTAATATTCCGGTGTTTGATTTCCAGTGATTTGATGTACTACTTGTGGCACGGTGGTGCAGTGGGTAGCGCTGTTGCTTCACAGCAAGAAGGCTGCTCTCTCGCATTCACACACATACAAGCCTCGGCAGGGTCAGTTGGCATTTCTGTGTGGAGTTTGCATGTTCTCCCCGTTTTGGTGTGGGTTTTCTCCAGTTTTGAGTTTGCTCCAGTTTCCACTCAGTCCAAAGATATGGGCTATAGGTGAATTGGGTAAGCTAAATTGGCTGTAGTGTATTTGTGTAAATGCAAGAGAATCTCTGACAAGATGTGCAAGACAATCGCGGCTTTTGCTGAATTGTGATCTAGATTTCATTCCAATTAATCATGCAGCAGTTGTTTGAAGACAAATCCATTGTAAAAGGCCAAAAAATAGACAATTTCTTACCGACACAGTCTGGAACTAAATTGATACAGTTTTACACTTTTCATTGATAGTTGATACACTTTTTTTCTAATGTTGGCTAATGCAACTTTTTTTTTTTTTTTTTTTTTTTACACAAGATATGCAACACAGCTTTTTGTTTTCTATAGAGCATTTTTATTGTTGGGCTGCATAGACCTATGTCTTCCTTTATTTATTTTTTTTACTACTACACTGTTAGCGAAGCAGTGATGTAAAAGCTTTAGTGAAGGTGGAGTTCAGTGAGAATATTACATAATAAACTTGCTCCTTTCACATCCTGTCGTTTTGGCAGATTTACTTCAATATTAGCTGACTAACGTGAAAATGTTGTGTTCGGAAACTTCTTGGATGTTTTATAGCATGGTGACCTCATTTATGTCAAATGTTCAAGTAAATTTAGAATTCTCCGTTTATTTTGATTCTTTTAAAATACAAATATCAGGCCTGTAGCCAGCCTGGTGAAAGGGGAGGTTCTTTTTTTTTCTCAAAAATGTGACCTTTTTGAAGTTATTTACTTCATTTTCTATTTAATTATTTAATATCTATTAATAAATAAATCGAGTGGTCATCATAACCACACATTTTTATGTACCAAAAATAATTCCTAAAGATTTAGAATCAAGAAATGTGAACAAATACTTATTTTTTAAATACAAACTTATTACATAGGAAAAAATAAGAATCTGTTAAAGCTTAAAAATTAAAAACTGTAGCCTATTGTCATTCATCAGGCAAATAACAAACAATAATAATAATAATAATAATAATAATGATGATGATGATAATGATGATGGCGAAGCAGTGGCGCAGTAGGTAGTGCTGTCGCCTCACAGCAAGAAGGTCGCTGGTTCGAGCCTCGGCTCAATTGGCGTTTCTGTGCGGAGTTTGCATGTTCTCCCTTTGTTCGCGTGGGTTTTCTCCGGGAGGTCCAGTGTCCCCCACAGTCCAAAGACATGCAGTGCAGGTGAATTGGGTAGGCTAAATTGTCCGTAGTGTGTGTGTGTGTGTGTGTGTGTGGATGTTTCCCAGAGATGGGTTGCGGCTGGAAAGGCATCCGCTGCGTAAAAACTTACTGGATAAGTTGGCGGTTCATTCCGGTGTGGCGACCCCGGATTAATAAAGGGACTGAGCCAACTAGAAAATGAATGATGATGATGTTGATAATAATAATAATAATAATAATAATAATGTAGAGCTTCATGATTTTTCTAGTCCCTCTTGAAAAAGGTACATTTGAATATTCATGGATAACAACAATAACCAAATTAATATTTAAATTTATTTTACAACGGGCCGCTTTTGGTGCTTCACACCTTTTTATTGGTAATTTTTTCTTTTAAGAATAAGGTCCAAGATTTAATTAAAGTTACTTGTAAAATGTTTTCTCTATTTTAAAACTTACATTAGGTCAGTAATGGAAGATGATTCACTTATGTCAGATAGTATGTTTTCTTGCACAGCTGGATGTAGGACTAATCATGAACAATAATTGTTCGCATTGGTCAAAACTGATTAGCTGAAGTCACACTGAAGCAACAGCTAACAGAGGATTCCGCTTGGTCTTAAAGCCTTTTTGATGGGTTATTTTTACAACTTATGATGGCATAGCCTCATAATGGCCTTTGTGGGAATGTGTACTTATGTTCTGTGTACTCTTTCTTATGTCACTGAGTGAAATGCTACTAAACACCATCTAGTTATTTTCCTTTTCCATGATGTCTCCAAGCATTTGTGGAGACCAAAAACAAACAAGTGTAATTCAGTCTTTTATATGTGTGTGTTTTAAATTATGCTAATTAAGCTACTAAAAGTCCTGAAGGTGCATTTATTAAATGTTTACTTTTGTTCTGAGAGATAATTGCCTTAGAGCATTGTTGCTTTCAGATATGTTCTCTGTAAAGGTCCCTGTGGGAGACGAAAGTTGGGACACAATTGCTTGTCAGAGAATCAGGCTGTAAGATGAGACTGAAGCGAAAGGAGAAGACTTTGTGTTGAAAATCGGTGACACAGATTTTGACCGTGGTCATGTTGCTGAAAGGAGCAGGAGAGATGGTTGTCAGAGAAACCAAGATAAAGTTGGAGTCTTATCATTACTGATTCATGTCGATTACGAAACGGGGAGTGTCATACAATACTAGGTAAACTCCATTATTTGGAGTTTCTATAAGTTTATATATAAGAATCAGTCT